TGAGAAAAATCTCTACAAGCTCATGAACAACTCGGTGTTCGGTAAGACAATGGAGAACCTGAGGAAACGCGTAGACGTGAAGCTGGTTCGGTCGAATGAGGAAGACAAGCTCAGGAGACTGATAGCATTCAACCGTAGCAAGATATTCACAGATGACCTAGTTGCCTTACACATGAAGAAAAGCCACATAAAATTCAACCGGCCTGTTTACGTGGGGATGCGCATCCTCGATTTATCCAAACACCTGATGTACGTCTTTTACTACAACGAGCTTAAGAAACAGTACGACGACAGGTGTGAAGTGCTATACACTGACACAGATTCCCTGCTGATGGAGATTCGAACCGAGGACGTGTACGAGGACATGAAAAAACACCTCGATTTGTACGACACCAGCGACTACCCCAAGGACCATGCCATACACAGCACGGTAAATAAAAAGGTCCTAGGTAAGATGAAGGACGAGTGTGCCGGCACGCCCATAGCCGAGTACATAGGTTTGAGACCTAAGATGTACTCCATACTGAAAGCCGACAATAGTGAGATCCGGAAGGCTAAGGGTGTTAAGAAGTACGTGGTTAAACAACACATCAAACACGCCAGATTCAAGGAAGCCCTGTTCGAGACCCGTACCTTTAGACATAAAATGAACACACTTAGAAGTGATGGTCATAAGATATACGGACTGACAATAAACAAGACGTCCCTGTCGCCTATGGATACTAAACGTTGGATAGCTATTGATGGGATAAACACAAGCGCGTCGCGGGCATGAGAAAATTGAACCAAGAACATAGGTATAAATATCGGGACGACATGTCACGGAACCAGAGAAAGTTTGAGGCTATTTACTATAGCCCGCGTGGGTACTGGAAAGGAGCTAGCGCTGTAGATAAGTTAGCTAAAATGGCGCGAGTACCGCCGGAGGAGACCAAAGCGTGGCTTGAAAAACAAGCACTTTGGCAGATCTATTTGCCGCCACCACGCTACGCGCCTAGAAGGAAGTTTGGTATTAACATACCTAATAGCGTTCACCAGGCAGACGTACTGTTCCTACCCCACGACAAGAGGTACAAGTATGCCTTAACCGTAGTGGACGTAGCCAGTCGCTACAAGGAAGCCGAGCCCTTGACCACGAAAGATTCGGTCCAGGTAGCCAGAGGATTCGAACGCATATACAAACGCAGTGCGCTGGCGTGGCCAACAGAGCTGCAAGTTGACCCCAGGCGGGAGTTCATGGGTGCCGTGTCACAACTGCTAGCCAAACACGATACAAAGGTCAGGCGGCCGGAGCCCATCGCAGCCAAGCCATAGTTGAGAGATTCAATAGGACTTTGGCTGAGCGCTTATTCGGACATCAGTATGCGAGAGAGATGGCCGCCCCGGGGAAGCGATCGACTGAATGGGTCACGAGGTTACCTAAGGTGGTGTCGGCAATCAACCATGAAGTCACCCGTCTCACCGGTAAAAAGCCGGCAGACGCTATAAAATTAAAATCGATAGCAGCAGAGCCGGCCGCTCCATTGCGTGGGAAGGAGAAACAGATACCAGATAGGGCCCTAGTTAGGTATCTATACCAGCATGGGGAACACGAGGGTGATAGCCGTAAGCGAGCCACCGATCCTATATGGTCAGTCAAAACTTACAACATAGATAAAGTTGACATGAAAGCCGACGAGCCGAACTTGTACTACTTGAGGGATGGACCAGGCAGAGGGTTTGTAAGAGAAGAATTATTGATCGTACCGTACGGCACAGTGTTACCACCAGTCAACGTGGTATAGATGACAATTCCCAAGGGAGGAAGCGCAATACATTTCTATTTCTCCCTTTGGGAATTGTGGCTGCCGGGGACATTTTACTACTTTTTGCGCTTGAACTTTTTATAGGTTGGGAAAGCAGTAGGGGTAATGGTAGCAAGAGCTAAGGGTCCGACCAAAGCCTTATTTGGGGAATAAGGCTTTGCAGAGGCTTGTGTTGGACCTGGTCCAAAACCCCCATTCCCTATACTACTTCGTGTGTAAGCTTAGGTCTGCCTATTGATTTGTTTTATCTGACACTCTTTGAAAAAAGAACTTGCTCAAAAAACCCATTTCTACATTGAAATATTTGCATCCGAATGGAATAAGGTAAGCCAAATTCTTTCATTTTGGCTAGCTATGCTAATAGTGTGTGAATGCGACCTCACGAAGTTTTACTATGTTATGTTAAGTATGTGGGTCTTCAGCATACTGCAGTGTTGTTTACTCTTTATTATAGAAATCATCCAAAGCAAGTTGAAGGGGAAACTAAAGCACTGGACGAAAGTCATACAAATGTCTCAGTTTGAAAGTGATTTTCCTCAAAACTTTCTCTGTTTTGCATCCCACTTGGAATTTGTCCAAGCTGCTAGCTTTTGTGGAGACAATAACCTGGATGTCATTGACTCGTATGAGATCAATGGTTTCGATCTGTTAATATTTTTTTATGAAGCTGATTTGTTGCTATGCAAAACATTCTGTCTTGATCAATTCTTTACGTTCCTTGTCTACAATGTGACATAATGTACAGTTCAGCTTACAGAGTTTAACAAATCAGCACAAAACCAATTAAACTATTTATGTTTTTAAGAAAACATTCTTACTGCAGTTTATTTCAAACCGCATTGTGCAGTATTCATTGCAAAGCGCGGCATTGTGGCATTTTACAAATAACGCAAAGATACCTTTAAAAGGCAATTGGGCTCATGGGTCTAAGCAACCTAAGCTTCTTCTGCACCTCGAAATGGTACCTGAATAACCACCCAAAATGACTCTGACTGACCCAAATGTTGACTTCATTCTCATGATACTAGCCATAAAAAAAATACACTGAGTAAACACTCACTACATTCTACTGCTTCAATGCTTTCATTTAATATCAAGTATATCACTGAACAATGTCATCTTAAACATGGAATTATTTCGCTTCTGGTTCGGATCCCGATAGCTTGTTCATTGGTGCTTTTGTCCAGGTGAGCTTCATGGCTGGTGTCACTAGTAATTGTAAAATATTTTCTTTTAACCACTGACATTGGAAACCGGTAATATGTGACCAAAGTGTGTTATATTATCGCTTTAGTTAATGTTCCTGTGTTAGACTCTGATTAAATTATGCAGTGTCAAAGCGTTGGACTGTTAAAGTTATATTTATCAGACTGAAACACTGTGTTTCCGGAACAAGGAACAGGCCGTGGCAGGTTTCTGTGAGTTGTGCACCAATAAATGGAACCTGTAGTCATTTTCTTGATGTTCGGGTGGTCAAATAGAATAATAATGATATACAGTGAGTAAGTCAATACTTTCGTGTAGTTCAGGTTATGATAGCTTTAGCTATTGAACACACTGGCTCTGCTCATTTCAGTCACTTGACAGTTGCAACTTCATCTCATGACATGCTGAAATTAGATTGAAACAAGTTTATAAATATACTGATGAGAGGAGGATGTTTCATTCACGTGAAGGCATTACATGTTAAAACCTTACTTTGCACATGCATATGTTTATTTGTCTGATCATCATATGGTGGCACTTACAGCCGTTTAATATTAATGTTGATGATGCTGATGGCGCCCTACTGTAATGCTGGAGGAAAGGGTGTCAGTCAAGCAAAGTGTCATTTACAAAGCGCCTTGAGTCGTCTTTTGGAGATGTTTCTGAAAGGCATGTATATATCCAGTGTGTTGCACAGGATAGCAACCTAAACTGACTCATTTGCTTGCATGAAATCGGCTGGCCTGAAAAGTGTACGAGGTTTACTTTTCGTTGATACATTTTATGGCACATGCTCATCCTGATGTGTAACACACACATAAACACACAAGCACGCACACACGCACGCACGCACGCACCCATACATGCATACATACATACCTACCTACCTACCTACCTACCTACATACATACATACATACATACATACATACATACATACATACATACATACATACATACATACATACATACATACATACATACATACATACATACATACATACATACATACACACACACACACATACATACATACACATACATACACATACATACACACCTTAATGCCTGTAGACATGCAGATTTGCCTGTATACAAATATAAGCACAAAGTAAATTGTGGAATGTTTATCCTTACAGATTACTTTGATCATGTCAAGACCTGTTATGGGTAATTTGTTCGTGTTGAAGTTGGAAGTCAAACACTATTTGGAAGAGTTTAACCTTCGAAGTGTTTATGAAGTTGTCAGTTATTCCAATGGTTACCTATTCAGTTTCAAGTGCTTATCTGCCTACATTCTATCCAAGCTGATGTTGGCAGAGAGGAAAACGTATATTCTAAGTTTTTGAGAGGTTTGTGTTGATTGTCAACTTTGGTACTTATAATAGGGGTACAATTCACTATACAGGCGCAAGGCGCGATTTAAGAATGTTTATGTTGGTTGCACAATTTGCAACCTCAGAGAGAAGCAGGCTTCGAAAAAATGCATCATTGATTTTGTTACCCTTATATATTAAATTAGTAAGTACAGCCCCTCTTATAGAGGAACACTTGCTGTAATTCTTTATAGTTCTATTTCCGCAGTGGATACCGTCAATCTGTTTGGCGAATCATACACCGTAGTCTTCCCGCATAAGCACAAATGTATTGTCCGACAGATTTTGAAAGTATGTAAAATAGATTCATGTTATATATATATTAGTTAGTGAGGGAGTGAGTATAGTTTTACGCCAATAGCATATTCCATCAATATCAAGGCGAGGGACACCAGAAATGGGCTTTACACATTGCACCCATGTGTGGAATCGAACCCGGGTCTGCGGCGTGACGAATATATATAATACAAAAATAGATGACAGAATAGCATGAGCGATATATAAAACGTTATTAAACTAATGATGTACATACGGAATTTAGATATGTTTTTGTGCAAAATTATGAATCAGTAAATATGAAAATGAATTACGTTCATTGTGATCTTTTTTTTCAGCATGGATGAAATTCTTGAAGAACTCAACCTGTCGTCACTGAAAAAGAACTTTCAGGACAACAAGGTTTGGAAAAGGTCATGTTCATTTTTCTTATTTCGTACGTCTATGGTTTATGATCTATTGCACCTATTCTACGTTTCTCTTAAGGTTGATCCTACAGACGTGCTGTCTTTGACTGAGGAGGACTTTAGAAGTCTTGGCGTGCAGACAATTGGGGAAAGAGCACGATTAAGACAGAGGTGCAAGAATTTAGTTTCCGGTAAGATTATCAGACCAATTAATCCGTAATTCATGAGTGCTGATTATGTCATGTTACGTTCAAATAATAAAATATCGGCGTTTGACAATTTATTAACTTTTCCAGAGTCTATGTCAGAACCACCAGTTGTTCAACGTCTCCGGATGTTTCAGTCTCAACGTAGACAACGGGTATTGTGGCAATTTCTTCTTACTCATTCATCATATAAAGCAAAGCAACTAAATATATTCTTATTAGCAAATTTGTATTGCAAACAATTGTACACACAGATAAAGAACCTGGTATTAGTATCGTGCTCATTTTTCGAAACAATGGATATTTGCTGTTGCTATTTGTTGCACATACGTCTGCTCATACTGATTTGAAAAACGATAATGTCGCGATTATTTCAAGGTGAGTTGGAGAGGTCCAAAGTCTGCTGCATCACGATCGACAACCAGGCGACTACATATCGGTTGGAAACATAAATCTCGAAGCATGTACATCCTGGTTAGTGCAGGCAAGGGTGGCGGTTCTCAGACTTTTGATGCAGATAAAAACTTTAACAGAAGTGTTAAAAAGTGTATTCGCACAGAAAGTCCTACCCAATTAGGATATATCGGCACACATCAGCGGTTGAAGAGCAGGTACGTGTGGCATCTTATAGAAAAGTAATGATAAAGAATGTTGTGTTCAACTATGTCATCCTCTACAACTTGACAATCCTCAATGTATTATTCAAGTGTACCTGTGCATACTGTAAAATTTACAAATAGTTCAGTCAGGCATTGAACATTGAATATGTTTAAATGTATTTTTTTACACTACGTAATATTGGGTGACGCATATACGACATCATCAGAATGTCTCTATGTATACTGGACAAAAACTGTTAGGGATATATGTAAATTTTGAAATTATGAATAATGATGTATTTATTCATTGACATACTGATGAAATATCAATCATAAAAATACCAATATCCCTAACTTATTTTGTCCAATATATTGTTACAGACTGTCGAGGGGGGGCTGCCCAGGAGATGAGGAGCCTGATGCGGTTGCGAGAGATAATACCTCAGTGGTAAACGTCTGAACACACATGATATATTCTGTAGCTCACAAGCTAAGAACAGAATACATGTTTCATAAATCTGGTCCGAGTTGGTATTATTATATTTGGTATTGAATAATGAAGGCGTGATGCTGTTTAACATGAATTTTTTCCACATGTTTCCCAATAAAAGAGAATGTAACATATGTCATAGAGTAAACCATTTCAATAAGTTTCTGTAAAACTTCATGTAGTCAAACAACATAATTGTTTCCATATATATCCAAAGTGGACCGAAATTCTATCCCCTTTGTCTGTTTAATGTATTCAGCAATCATTCGGTGTAGCCCTTTTATCATAAACCCCCCTCAGGGCACGACCCTTAAATCTTAACGACCTTGCACAACGTGGTAATGTCCCTATGCATAAAACCCGACTCACGTGGTCACTCAGGGAGACCAAGCAGGGAGACCAGGCAGAGACGACGCGACGAAACGGGCCCAGATCACCCACTGAAGCGGACGGACTGTGCGGCTAGTCGGGGCGTTGGCCAAGGCCGTCGCCTCACCAACGACTACGTCGACGATGAAAAATCGCCGTCCGTCTTCTGAATCTGTGTAAGTGACAGAGCTGGTCTCCACATCGGGACCGTTCTGTCACGTGATTTCCATCTTATTACCATTTCTACCATTGTTCCCAAACCATAATAAACATGGCTGCTGCTGGCGTCAAATATAGTGCTGACTTTTGTCTTCCGCCTCTTGAACTACCATCCGAGAGTACCACAACAGACGCTCTTGGACACATACATGAATTATGGCTTATCACGTTCTGTTAACTGAGCCTGAAAAGTAAGATAAGCGATTATTTAACATCACTTTGAAAAGTTATATGGCGGTGGCGGTCCGTTGTGGGAGTCTGAGGTTGTGAGTGAGTGAGTTTACTTTTACGCCGCACTCAGCAATGTTCCAGCTATATGGCGGCGGTCTTGAAATAATCGAGCCTGAACCAGACAATCCAGTGATCAACAGCATGAGCATCGATCTGTACAATTGGGAACCGATGGCGTGTGTCAACCAAGTCAGCGAGCCTGACCAACCGATCCCGTTAGTGGCCTCTTACGACAAGCATGGGTTACTGAAGAATGATATTCCGACACGGACATTTACGGAAATCTGAGGTTGTGACAGAACTGTGGGTATGGCTTGTATTCAGGGCAAATGAGGGATTTGACCATACGTTCATCTGATTCTGTGCCGGAAGCTGTAGCGCCTTAGGCGTGTTCCATACGGCAAATAACGAATAATTCTTTGTGAACATGAATTCGAAAGGTGTTAGTTTAAATAGTTAGTATTTAATGAATGTTAATAAGGAAAACAAGTGTGATCAACCCGAAATTCTGTGCCTGTAGATTAAGTAATATAGTATGACCAGAAATTATTGCGAATTTTAGGAATATGTTTAATTGGATTGCTAGTATATACAACCTTGACCAGCTATCAAGTGCTTGTTTTCATTCAAGAGACACAACTGCGTTAATCCTTTTTCATTAGTTTGTGAAGAGTTCCCCCCCCCCCCCTTTGTTTACTTGCTAGCAGACAACATTTTCAGTGATCCACAGATTGGATGATTTAGAATAGAGGATCCCTTTGTCCACTGTTTATTGTTTTGAAATATATTGCAAATGGATAAGGCATTGAGCACCAGGGAGGCGCAGGTAGACTCAGAAAATTGACTGTCGATGACAGGAGGCGGCTTGGTATTCTTGTTTCTAAAAACAAACGAAGGAGTTTAGAAACCTTAAGGCTGGATTTGATTGATAGAAGAACTGTGGCTGTCAGTAAAGAGACAATTAGAACTGAGCTGCATGCAATGGGTTGGCAGAAAGTCGAGGAATTCGTTCACCGATCATGAAACCTGAACAAAGGTAGCGAATGACGACCTGGTTCTTACAGCATAAAAAATGTAACTGTGACACTGAGATTTTCTCAGATGAAAGTTCTGTGTGGCTGTTTCCCAATACACTGAAATTATGGACCAAACAAACTGAAAAACCTTTGTATCATCGCCCAAAGTACAGTCCGAAATTTCACCTGTGGGGTGGCATATCTGTGTTAGGGGCAACACCCCTCTGTGTATTTGAAGGGAAAATGAACAGTGAGCGGTACACAGATATTCTCGAGGGACATTTACTGCCATCTGCTCAAGTGTTCTATGGAAATCTTTTGATTTTCCAGCAGGCCAACGACCCAAAACATTCACAGGCCTGGTTACGGATCCAAAATATAACATTATAAGATTGGCCAAGCTACAGTCTTGACCTAAATCCAATAGAAAATGTTTGGGGACTTATGAAGGAAAGTGTCAATAAGTAAAATCTGACAAATATTGCTGAAATTAAAGAAGAGGTGGTCCGATATTGGGACAGCATGGACCACGACTTTCTAACTTCTTTGATCAGTAGTATGCCCCGTCGCATTGAAGCCTGCATTGCTGCCCATGGTGACTTGACAAAATACTAACTGTTCACCTGTCTTTGAATCTGGAGTTATGTTCTACTAATATTCACATTTAATACGTCAGTAATGAGTGAAAACAATATATAAAAATTGCAATCTTTAAATTCTCAATAATTTCTGGTTGTACTGTATACCTTGAAGAAATAAAATCACGTGTGATAGATTGTTTTATGTGTTTTGGCACAGGTGATGGATATTGATGAGAGTACGTCAGATGACTGAGATGAGCTCCCTTCAATGGATAGTGGGACTCCAACCATTGTCTTTAATGAAAGGCATGGCCCTGTAATGGTATAGTAGTAAAAGCTTGGCACATTTCTACAGCGGAAAAATCGATTGGTAATGTTAAGTGTTCACTTTTGTTATTTTACACCGCTGTCAACAAAAATAAAGAGTATTTTTTTCATGTTAAAAGCGGATTTAGATTTTCAAAATGACCTTTGCGATAGCTATATATAATAATCTTAAAGGACCTAAACTTTGGCATTCATATTTTTTTCCTATATTTTCTTTTCTCACAATTTATGCTGACAATGCTTGAATATCGATTCTGACATCCCGTATGTAGTGTCTGCTTTTGTCAACTATCTACACAGGTAAGGTGCTGGGTATTTGCAGTAGAGTTGTCATGTCAATTGTCATAGTAGCTTTATGCATGCGAGTGCAGTGTGTTCTGTACGTGTCTGTATCTGTAACTTTATTAATAGACAATAGTTATCCGAAACACATACATCCGTAATACCACATCTTTGTATAAACATTGCACAGGTGTTCGGATATTTAATTATGTAACTTATCAATGATTAGAACGAAACTAAATTAAATATCAGCATGGTTTATTTTAATATCACAAGGTTATCTAAGTTTTACACTGAATGATAAATGGACATTTTTGATTACTATCAGATTATTTTCACTCAAAATTCAGGAAGGCTTGCGTGTGTATACGTCCGCGAATGAGAGTACTTGCAAAAGAGTGAGTGAGAATAAATTTCGTGATTTCATCCCAATATGCATTATTTTATATTTTAGCCTTACAAAGCAAAACTTATCAGACTGTTGGAGTGATGAGGGCATATTCCCTTGTTCACGGGGGGCCACAACCGTCCTTTCTCAGCCCACTCCTTTATGACGTCATCGTCGGAGGTATAGAATCTGCGGCTCCTACTATTGACCACATTTTCAATCTTGAGTACAAGGAACAAATAACTAAGGGAAAGTACTTTTTCCGTTCTCGGTCATGTGCTTGCAAAATAAACATACAATATCAGTGTTTGTATAACCATAAATATGTCTGGTTACAGAGAACAATATCCAGGACATTTGTTATTGAACGTGCCTGTTTTGCAAACACACCGACAGTCCTATAGGATTCTTAAATCTTTTCAGCTGTGCCAAGCAGAGGACACGTCAACAGTGCCAGAAGCGGAGGAGTTGATCGTCGTTGCAGGATGTGGCGCAATGATGTACAGGGCAGATCGGAAGGACGAGATGATTACAGCTCTCATTCACTTCCTGGTTCTGGGTCGTGTGTCACATTGCATTGACCAGTGAGTGTAATATACTTCAAATACATTTATTTTACTATAATAGTATTAAATAATCTAACAAGAACTGCAAAGATGTAATAATGGTGCGTGTTCACTGTCTGTGGGGTAACAAGTTGATCATGTGTTATACTTGTAGAAACATTTGGATGTCTTCATTAAAAGCTTGCCCTCTCAATCAACTCATTGCTGATTATGTCATGGACTCAAAACCCTGGGTGTGCTCGAGGCAGTGAGGCAAAACAGGCACAGCATGAAGGAGCTGTTTGTTCATGAGGACCACAGCATAGATTCCTCGACTTTTGAACTCATCTATACACCAGTGTTTAGCGAGGAGGGTAGTAATACACACAGGCTTGAGAAATTGGTGCACTCCAACTGGAGAGACGTCCTGCTGGAGATTGAATGTATTTGCAAGTCTCTTTAGGAAACATAGTGGTTAATGAATAAGGTTTTCTTATGGATATTACCTTCAAAGCTGGTAAAATATCTGAACATTTAAATATGCGTATATACTAATTATGAACTACTAGTCAATAACACACACTCAATGGCAAGTTAATGTGTTGGTTCAACAGAGATATCTATCTTAACTTAATGCATTTAATTCATATACAACTATACAGACATATATATAAATACATGAATATGAAAGCAAAACACAAACTGACCTTATAGATACATACATAGAAGTGAGGTCCACAGCCACTCATTCCACTAAAAAACCAAACTATTCGTTCAGCATAACATGTGTAGGACTTCTGACTTGTAAGAGTAGTATCTGACAACTGCTTAATGAAATCAAGTTGAACTGTAGGCAAGGAGACTTACATGATAGGGATATGGTACAAGGCAGACAATGCAATGCGCTTATCATTAGAGTGCCAGTGGCTATGGTGAAGTTAAGAGTTATATAATTGCTGGGGTAAATCTATTGTTACTTTCTGTATACTGTGTACGTGTTATAGCTTGTACAGGCACTTAATGGCCTAAAACATATTTCTAAAATATTTACGAAACAAGTATAAAACAAGGCCACATATCCATAAAAATAGTCCTCATTCTTCATCTACTCAACTTCTAGAATGACAATCAAAGGAAACATCGTGGCCAGTCTTGTTATTGCATGTATACTTGATATTATATGGGTCTTAGCATGATAAACAACTGCGATTTCTTTTATCTGTAAGGAACTATCATGCTTTCGCCTAAGAATTAATGTGTTGATATAAAGTCATAACTGAAACCAGATATTGATACTTTTGAATTCGCGAGTTATAGGTTTGTACAACTTCACTATTTCCAGAGGGTGTGGAAGATACGTCTCTGAAGGATGTGCTGATATTTTCAAGTGGTGCCGATAGAGTTCCGCCACTTGGTCTCCGACCGCAGCCAACACTAACGTTTCACCAATGTGACCCACTTTCAGCAGAGGCAAAAGAGAACTTTCCGTTCGCCAACACATGTTCAAACACATTATCTTTGCCGTTAATTGCGTGTTATGATATGTTCAAAAGGAGCATGGTTGCAGCTGTAAAAGTACACCTATTTACTACAGAGTAAAGATGTAGTTGCACGGCTCCATAGCTATTACACGACCTGTTGGGGGAATTAAGACCCTTGGATCATGTAATACATTGTCCAAGCTGCATAAATATACACAGGAAAAGCTAACCAGAATATACCATTATTATGTTAGCATCACATTAACCTTCTTATGACACTTATGTTTGGACTATGTAAACACTGTTTCTATGTATTGCATGGATACATGCAGGCATGGCTTTGTTTAGAATATCACTTGGATAATGAGACAAATGTGTCCTTATGAGCTCATTTAGCAACTTCAGTTATTATTCTCTTTTAGTTTGTCAGCACCTGTGATTCAGAACCTATGGAAAGATGTACACATACATTACTTTTAACAATTGGGAAATAGTAGAACTTGATATCATTTTATACAGTTCCGTCATATGAGTAAGACATTCAGAAACGTAATTGGTGTAGAGAGTATTTTTACACACGACAGGCTGATTACGTTTTTATTTAAACAATGTATATTTCGAATGTGCATACTACGAAGGTAACAGTTTTGAAGGTGACAAATGGCCTACATTTATAATCTCTTTTGAATTTTAGTTTACAGTGAATGGTATTTTACACAAGACAGTGCTTGCGTGAGACATGATTCATAATTGAAAAGTTGATTACGGTTTTGTTTCAACCATTATTTTCAGTATGTTTGTGCATGCTATTCTTATGGAATAATTATTAGTTCGGGTTTAAAGTCAAACCCTCTGTTTGTAATCCTAACAATAATTCGGCGCCTACATGAGAGTCATATAAAACGGGGGCATTAATGAAAGTGACAAGATGCTTCAGATGAAGAGGTTTGAACTGTTAGAAAAATGTGACTCCATGTCTCCTAACATTCTTTAATAAAGTCATATTTAATGCACGTTTCCCTCCAGTTTTGACACGAGCCAAGCATATAGGTCCAGAGCTTCCTGGGTATCCTTTGGCTCTGTCTTCCCGTTGAGGATTAGGAGATTCTGACAGACGTCTTCGAACTCTTCTTCACATCCCGAAGGGCGAGGTATGGTGCACACTGACTGAATAGCGTGGATGTCTCGTGCGTCAACTTCAGTCTTGTAATCAACAGTGCCTGAAACATATACGAAGGGTTTAACGCAGTGTCACAACAGGTATAAACGACATACATTTCGCAAGTTTTGGGGGTGGAACCCGGGTCAAAGCGTAACATGCCAACGAGTTATCTTATAAGATCTTTCTACCGTAGGATATGCAAAGTTTTGTTTATGCATTAACTGCAACACAACATGGACAATACCGTTGGTGACTCCAGTGAATCCTACCGTATTCAGATGGAAGAAAAAAGAGAAGATCTGGCTTTCCACTGACATCTGCCCCCGTTCGCCTAACCCTGTGCTGGTTCCATTCAGTGGCGATCTGGTCAAGCTCAGTCTGTATCAGCCGAGTGAAACAGAACCTCAAACACTCCCTGTTCAAAAACAGATGTTGCACTTTTGACAGTTAATGTTTACTGATGAACTGAGTGTAAATGTAAAATCCTCTCATACACTGTAAATTCGCCAAATAAGCCTGTAAAACGGGTTTTACGGTTATATATTCATAAATGCAAATCGTGTGTTGAAATTCATTCCTATGGTAACAGTAACAGCTTCACATGCATCTTTTATAATCATCAGAACAAACACACATGTTAGAGAACGATACGAAATCAGTGACACTCTATTATCAACCAACCAGAAAAGGGTTGTGTGCTCGTTGGCGTTGCCTACCTTTCTAAGGTTTATGGAAACAAATGCAAAACACACTGCTTGGTTTGCCAATTAAATATGTATGAACCAATAGCAATTCTATTTGCATATTAATAAAACATTATGAGATTATCTATTTCAATGTTGAATACAGCAAAATATAATGAAAGATATAGTTGTGATTGCTACTTACATGTGAAGGTTGTTGTCAGCTGATACAATGCCCTGAGATTCCATGTCCTTGAACAAGTTGATCCAGTAATCCGCACCATTTTGTCTCAAGGACAACCACCATCTTTCTATTCTCTGCAATAAACAATGCTTCTTTCAAAGTCAGATACACATGCATTTACTTAGTGCTGAATGCTCCCAGTCATATCGATGTGTATAACACATGGAAAATAGACTTGACCTCTATAAGACATATTAAAACATTCCATGAAAATATCTTGTTTGAGTGGCATTGTTGGTGTGGTGAACAGCAGGGAGTGTTCAATAGATATACAACTTCTTTATTATTAATATGAGCGACGTTTCGGTGTAGCTACTTACACCGTTACCAAGCAAGAGATGTACAATACTGCAGGCAAGGCTATATATACATAGTCAAGTTTGAACAGTAAGTTGATTGATGTTTACACAATTAATGAAGTTTATGTACAACGTTTACACAAGAAGGCAATTGTTACATGTACATTTTGTTACTATGTATACATAGCCTTTCTTGCAGTATTGTACATATCATGCTTGATGACGGTGTTAGTAGCTACGCCGAAACGTAGCTCAATAGTACAGAAGGTGTATATCTATAGAACTCTAGAACTCCCTCAGTTGTTCTATGAAAATAGGAGGTGTTTTCATCTTTAGATGTCACTGAAACAACGTGAACAGAAACTACCATGTGTGATGAAAAGAAAACCCTTTCCACATCCATACGAAATCACTACTAAAAGCAGAGTGGATAATTCCGACTATGTCATGAGCTGTCATATAGTGATGATACTCGGTGTATTGTGAGCTAATGCTTCATACTGAGGAATAGGTATCAGGGTTTATATGTTTCTGGTTCAGTAAAAACCTGATTTCTGTGAGAACTGCCATACAAGACACTGTTTTCTCCAGCCATATCATCCGTGTGTGACCACCTCATTGCTTTTTGTATATCTTCAATAAATACGTTCTCAGTCCCCCTGTCCATCCTTATGGAGCGGGGAACCCCTGAAAGGAAAACAAATACTGTTTTGCAATGTACGGCACCACAATGCATCATATTTAACATAGTTACCGTTGTCGAACATTTCCTACGTTATGACATATGTTATATTTTGGATTACACTTTCTCAGTAAAGTACAGATTCTAGTACTTTTGATGGAGTGAGTCCCATTCGGGATTCGAACCCACACCCTCAGAGTCACGCAACTTATAGCTAGCACACAAAGTCAGCCACCTAACCCGGTCAGCCACCGCTGAGTTACATTTGACCACTTTGTAAATAGCACTGTGTATTCATTTCCAACGCTGACTTGATGCAAAGTACAACTTTTGTGAATTGGAATTAGAGCGGCGTTACAATCCAACATAATTGGGATCCCAAGTTGTTTGAGGTTCTGAATGTATCAGAAATAGTCTGAAACATTGGACACAGAAGTCATGCATTAGGCCAAAGCGATGATACTATACTCCTCCCGAGTCTCCATTACCTCCAATACTTTCCACGTAGTGCAGGAAATAGTCACCTACAACATATGGATCTTTGTTACTTCTGCCAACTTTGAGCCATAGTATTCGTCTTGAAAAGCTGAAAATGATATTAAAGTATATATATGTCTTCATTCAAATTTCCTTTACTATGTAAGAATGACAACATGGTGTCTGGTACTAATAAATATTATATAATATTTAGTATGAACTTACCCGCAAATAGCGCCGTGAATAGCAAAACCAAATGGTGTAATCTTGTCGTAGCCATCTATGTGTACAAGATACTTGGGTCCCTTGTTACTGTACAGTCGTCTTGAAAAACGTTGGGTCCTTCGGGCAGATACTCTGTCTGGGTCGACAATCGTCAGTATCTCCTTGACCAAATGCCTAGTATGAATAGGAGTCGTATATTTCCGATAGAATTATGAGAAACTGATGTGAATATCTTCGACGAGACGAGCGAGCGATTTATCCACTAGGCTACCCCCACCGAACCTCACAATAAACAATATTCCACTGACGATGTATTCTTTGACATTTTATGCCTGAACAATACCATTGTCGCTTGTTGCACATTTCATTTTATAATTTGTAAAGACACGGATAGCGCACAGGATACTTTACCTTGGTACTCTGAGACCATGAACATTTCTTAGGCGTTCAGTCATGCTTCTGTAGCCGAGACAGGTACCACTACCTTGCAGCTCATTCTGAAAAGAACAGAATAACTAAGAATAACGCGTGCATGCGTGCGTGCATGCGTGTATGTGTGCATATATCAAAGACAAATAAAGTTTGATAGCACATTAAGGATGAAAAAGGTCTTACCTGAATAGCCCTTTTGACTCTTTCATGATCTATACAGCCCAAACGACGCCTCAGACCAAGTGTGCTGAGCGTTCGCTTCAGAGTTCGTATGCTGAAAGATTTACAGTTGCCTTTTTCCTCATTTAACATGCTCCGCGTAAGCAACAGTATGGGTTTATTACCATTCATTAAAGATGTGCTTTCTTTATACTATAGTTACACGACACATGCTGTTAGTATAACGAAGAAGGAACACATGCGTATAACAGTTACTAGCTGGTGATAACTACTAATTTACTTACGACATCATCTCTAGAAGTAATACTAAAATCTTACCGTCACTGCTGTAAATATTTTGGTTCATATTATATGGTGGCTGAATGTTTACTTATATGATCTTACATTACAAATTGCGAGTCGGTTTCCGTTTGTGCATGCGCAGATCTAACAAGTGAACATATGACGATATCGCTGTATCGCAATATCGTTGTATGGCCATATCGCCATATCGTATTACTGTATCGCAATATCGCCATATCGACTTACATCATATCGCCATTTCGTGTCGTGTTATCGTCATATCGTGTCGTGTTATCGCCATATCGTGTCGTGTTATCGCCATATCGTGTTGTGTTATCGCCATATCATGTCTTGTTATCGCCATGTCGTGTCGTATTATCGTCATATCGTGTCGTGTTATCGCCATATCGTTTTCTGTCTGTATCGCAATATCGCTGTATCGTGTCGCCGTATCGCAATGTCGTGTCGTACTATCGCTTTGTCGCGATGTCGCCTACATTTTTCAGGGCGATAAAACGATGGCCCGAATGAGCCACCATAGGTTAGTCTATATTGCACAAATATGGTCTTAAAATCGATATGATCGTTTACTTCACTTCCCATTTATCGCATACGTTTGGAAAATTGGATTTGGATATGAAGCTATCGTAAACTGATCTAGATCCTTTAGTAGGTTTAATAAGATCATTCCAAGGGGAACTTATCGATACCTTTGTTATGTTTGGGTTTCCAGCAGTTTGAATGACTTCTTTCCATTTTGGGGGATACTGACGATGACACGATTTATGTCAAGTACTGTGCCCTAAATATAAAATTTTGTTTTAAGTTCTGCAAATGAGAGTACCTCTTAGTCATTGAAAATGTCTTTAATATTAACAATTCCTTGTTAAAACCAGTAATTGATTATCAAATATGTGTTGCGTAACTGGTGATTTAACCAAAGAGGTTGCATAACAATTCGTTTATGTTGATATGATTCACTACATATCTCTTTATATATCTATTCCAGGCATCAAGTGCATCTTTATCTCACATACTTTCCGCTATCTTATTATCGAATCCTAAGAATGAATCAACGTACCCGCTTTTCTACATATCGCCATATCGCAATGTCGCTGTATCGCCATATCGCGTCGCCATATCGCAATATCGCTTTTTCACGTTATCACCATATCGCAATGTCGCGTCTTTTTATCGCCATTTTGTGTCGTGTTATCGCCATTTCGTGTCGTGTTATCGCCATTTCGTGTCGTGTTATCGCAATGTCGTGTTGCGTTGTTGCCATTGCGTGTTGCGTTATCGCTGTATCGTGTCTTGTTATCGTCATGTCGTGTCGCGATATCACTATTTCGTTTTTGTCTGTATCGCCATATCGCAATATCGTGTCGTGCTATCGCTTTGTCGCGATATCGCCTAGATTTCTTCAGGGCGATAAAGCGATGGCCCGAATGAGCCACCATACTAACCGCTAGGCATCTTACAAACTACAATAACAGCAAATGACAATCTGGGATTATATTCTTAGTCAAGTAAAAATCCTTGTACTTTTGCTAGTATGCTGACAAAAACGGATGATTTACAACTTTGTTTACATCTTGGCTCTTTGGTGTTTTTCTTGGACATTTTCCAGGTCGATCTGGCGGGCGTGGAGTGTTCCACGTGAGCATTGCCAGTCGCTATGTTATTTATACCTTGGGTCACCGTCACCTGTATACACTCAACTATCGGCTTGTCTTGTTGCTTATCACTGAATGTTTATCCTAATATATAGCAGAGATTTTGAGCTATGGCAACTGACAGGTTTGTCAGAGAGGTATCAGCAGTCTGTGCGCTCCGTACGAGCTAGCACAATACAATCAGCATACGTCTGGGCTAGTACAAGCAGCCACACATGCCTACGCATGCACGTGGTCATATGAGTGAAATATTCTTAAGTACGACGTTAAACGCCATTTCACCTCACCTCACTCGTTGTTTAGTTTAGATTCTCACTGTCGCCCCAACCTGATGCCAGCTCTGGAATGAATGATACACGTCGTTAGTGAGAGCACAAAACCATTCGCATACAGCAGTTAATGATGCCATAAGAAGTGATTAATGACGTCATATGAATAAGTAGTTAGTGACGTCACAATCTGCGGCATAGCGGTTTAGTAGCTCAAGAAGAAATTATTCGATATTTTCATCACATTATAGTAGTTTTGAAAATTCATCTTTTCACATGGCGATAACAATTTTACTTCAGAATTTGAAAGTCTGCCAAAAATGCAATAAGGATATTAAAGATATGTGAAAAAAATGTTTTCATTGTATTTGTTTTTATGAAAATGATGACTTGAACTCTCATTATGCGTCATCTCACAAACTGAAAAATTCACCTAAGAAAAAACAAGAATTACTTCCCCTATCAAGTTGGCCTTGACATTGACATTTCACGGCAATGTAACTGAAAAGAGCAATCTTGTGATTAAAAAGGCCGAGAATAGGTACGAATTGAACAAATCTCTTTTGTAGATCTAAAGAATATGTGCATTGTAACAAGTGTGTCTATTCATTACCAATAAATTGATAATATAAACTCAAAAAACTCTTCGTAAATCATCAAATCTGTGTGCTGTTGTAGATTCAAAAGTAATTTTGGCGAGTTATCTTGTTTGACAACGTCAAAATTGGTGAACAAACAAGAACCACACTATGTTGACTTCCACTAAGATAGACTTAGGAGTGAGTGAGTGAGTTGAGTTTTACGCCGCACTCAGCAATATTCCAGCTATATGGCGGCGATCTGTAAATAATCGAGTCTGGACCAGACAATCCAGTGATCAACAGCATGAACATCGATCTGCGCAATTGGGATACGATGACATGTGTCAACCAAGTCAACAAACCTGACCACCCGATCCCGTTAGTCGCCTCTTGCGACAAGCATAGTCGCCTTTTGTGGACAGTCTGGGTTGCTGAAGACCTATTCTACCCCGGATCTTCACGGGTCGATAGACTTAGGACAAGTCAGAACATATCCTAGTATTTGTCCTAAGTTAGGATATCCTAGCGCTAGGACACTTTTCGATAATAAGGTAGGACACCTATCCTAGATCCTAGGATCAAAGTTAGGATATCCTAGGGCTAGCATCCTTTCGCCAATATGGGACCAGTGGCTCATGTGTATTTAAGACCAATAATACGGCGACCAGTGAGTTTGTCTGTTGGTTGGTTCTTGTACGCCGTGATGAACAACATTCCAACTACATCCTGAAATGGGGATGAAGAATGATCGTACACGCTCTGTACCAAACCTGAACACCCGGTTCAATGTAGCCGTCCCACCTAGAAGAGTTCGTGTAAGTTTAATTATGAACCGTATCATGAAATCCAGCAAAAAATACATTGAGGCAAATGTGGGCCGAACATCCTGCTGTAGGAAATGTCTACCTCCTCCGGTTTCTTCACGTCCACGTTAACGGGATGTGACGTCACTATTCCGTCAGTTTCAAGCATAGGAAATATTTTCTTCAGCACAAACTGGTTATACTCAAAGAACGCAATGTTCACAGTGAGTTAATCCAACATTTGTATTTCTTTATAATCAAAGATATCTAAAGTCCGGTGCATTTCAGCTGATATGCAACATACGTCTGTGAATGTGATCCTTTATGTCTTGTGATCATGTCGGAAATAATTCTGTATGACAAGAAGTTATGAATGGGACAATCTAATGTAATGCTACCTTATGTTGTATTTAGATTACACTTTCGCAGTAAAGTACAGATTCTAGTACTTTTGTTGGGTTGAGTCGCATCTGGGATTCGAACCCACACCCTCAGAGTCAGGCACAACGTCAGACTCCTAGACAACGCAGCCACCGTGGAAGCCGTAACTTGATATACCGTCTCTTGCCTCTAGCTTTAGGGTTATTGTTATGGCAAGGCTATACCATTGTAGGATGGACATTCCTACATGTTGAGAGAATGCCCGATGACTGATTCTGTCTACACTGAAGCGCCAAGTCTTCCGAGATAGTAAGGGTGTCCGGGATGCCAGAAGGACATATATATATATACATATATATATATATATATATATATATATATATATATATATATATATATAATGTCATTCGCCAATACAATTCCAATACAATGCAATACAATTCTAAATATATCACGCACACAACACCCTTCACAGTTTCGAAGTTTGTGGGGGAATTTCCTGTTTCTGGATACCATCCACCATTATCTCAGACAAAGCTAAAGTGCCTTTCAAAATAGGTTTCATCGTGAATGTCGCCATTTTTGACACGATACGACATCCAGAGTGTTATTTGGTATATGTTTTGCAACGTTAAATCGGATAATTATTCGGAGTATTGTATTTCCAAAATGGCGTCTTAATGATCACTGATATCAGATTTTCATGAAATCACTATTGATGATACTAAAGGAACTCCTCTCATTAAGTAAAAGCACCCCCTCTTTCATGGTTTATGGGAACTGGGGAGTTATCCGCTGGAAATTGGAATTAAATCTCGAACGCTACTCTTTTGGGGAAACTCATTTCAGGAAAGGCTTCTAAGGCTTCTAAATTAGTAAGGCTTTTGACAAGGTGTGGCACAAAGGCATACTTCGTAAACTTGAATCATATGGTTTCAACGGCAACTTGTTACTATGGTTTAAAAGTTACTTAGAAAGTCGATATCAACGCGTTGTTGTAGATGGTTATAAATCCGACCTTAGACCAGTTCCAGCAGGTGTCCCCCAAGGATCCGTTTTCGTACCGCTTTTATTCATACTTTACATAAATGATATTGTTGATGGCTTTAATAGAAACATAAGACTTTTCGCCGACGACACCTCGCTTCATGATATAGCCCTTGATTCCAAGACAGCTATGGCTTGTCTAAATGAGGATTTATCTAGAATATCTAACTGGGCAAGGGAATGACAAGTTGATTTCAATCCAAGTAAAACTGTATCTATACAATTTTCCCGAAAACTAGCTCATAGCGCTAAGCCAGAATTGCTCATGAATAACTGTGGTTATGTGGCTGGCCACAAACACATAGGAGTAATATTTCAACAAGATAGCCTTTGGCATAATCATATCGAAACCATTTCAAAGAAAATTGGCCCCATAATAAACTGTCAGAGAAGTATTGAGTATCTACTCAATAGAACGACTCTGGAAACTATGTACAAATCATTTATGCTGCCTATTTTCGATTATGGCAGCCATATTTGGGACAATTGTACAAATGAACAAAAACTTATCCTTGAAAAGTTACACCTCGATGCAATCAGAACTCTATGCGGAGCTGTCCATGGCACCAGGCATGATAAACAATTACATGCAACAAATCTTACCTCTTTAGATGAAAGGAGACATTCTCAAAAGCTGTGTATGTGCTGCATAAATGGAAAACAGTTCAGTGCCCCTTATTTATCATACCAAATAAAGTATCTGATTCAACTCCTTTATTTTAAGAAATTGTAGAACTAGTAACTATGCCAAATCATTCCTTCCTGACACCGTCAACATCTAGCATTTTTTACCCTCAGACGGTGAGTACAAACGCTCTGTCCTTGGCGAATTCAAAGAGAGATTAAAAAGGACGATGTTAATAAAACAAAATTACTTCGACTTTACTACGGTTTACGAATTTGTCAAATCATTCACTACCGCTTCCAACTTGGTTACAGCGATCTCAACGCCGACAAATTTAAAGGTCACATGCAATAAAAAACAAAAACAAAACAAAAAAACATAATCAAAACAACTGTCACTTATTCATGACATATAATATACATTGCTGATTATGAAAAAACAAATAAACAAAACTATAAGCGTACAATCGCAAATCAAAAGTGCAATTTTTGGTACTTGGGTTTACTTCCCTCGAAACGAAGGACCCGGGAGACCGAACCCAGTCAGAGCGGGTGCGTGTGCACTCAAGTGTAATAAAGCCGTTCAATGACTGGTGCATTTGCGGATACGTTGAGGGCTCATTGTGTGTGTGTGTGTGTGTAACTGTGTGTGTGTGCGTGTGTGTGTGCGTGTGTGTGTAGAGATATGTTGGATTCCTGCTTGACAACGGTACAAGAACCTGTATTGAAACGTCGCTCTCTCGTAATAAAGAAGTTGTTTCCCATAAAGTCTGTCTATTTTGTACTTCCCAGCTTCTATAATCCCACCCAAAGAAGTTATGTTAGGTTTTGTAAATTCGTGCTCATTTTTATCTGCATTTGCCTTCGATCAAATCAACAAATACTGAGATGGTGAAACTGCGTGGCTGGAAACTGTCGTTCGTTCAAGTACAAAGTAGGACTTGAAACTGACAATCTGAGTTTTGCACCGGTTTCCGTACGATCCAGTCATCCGAGAAAAATGGATGCAGTTTGTTTGCAACCCACCGACATAATAACATGTCATGTGTACAAGTATCGCACCTGCCTGTCTGTGTAATTACATAATGTGACAGAGACAGAACTCAGGTGCACGAGCCATAAATCAATGTATTTTGTTTATGGTGTTTAGCCTTAAACGTTTCAAATTCAAATTGCATGTGGTCAGTGATTGAAGTTGTGTATTGCATATTGTCATTAGCAGACAGGCAGGCAGACAGACACTTAGGTGTCAATAGAACAGACATTGAGTTCTGTCTGTGACAGAGACTGCTTATCACAATCAACACATTTTTCTATGTTTCCATAGACATGCATTAAAACATTTCAGTTTTCAAGCTGAGTAATTTTTAACAAATGTTTAACTAACAAATTAGTATTTCTAATGCTACACTTTCTAGAAAACTTTTTTTTACGAATCTGTCAACCCCCAAAAGCAAGATGTGAAAACATATAACAAAAAGTATGGGACCAGTGTATTTTATTACTGCAGATTAAAGATGCTTGTAATCACAAGAAACATCTTTTGTTAATCCATGCACGCATCACTTGCTGTGTTTTGCGAGTCGCCTTCCCAGTTCAAGCCGCGCGAACCTAATCACTGCGCATGCGCTATGGGCTCAGCGCAGCACAGCTGCTGAAGCCACTTTTCACCCCCACCGTTGGGGTGAAATTAGTGAATCGTTTGAACTCCGATTTCGCGGGGTTTTTTTTCGTTGCGTTATTTTCAACTTTATAAGTTGAATTTGCAGTTTTGATAATTTGTTACTGTAAGTTCATACCGAAAGGTATCAGAATCTGCAAAGTTGTGTTTTACGTTGCATGTGACCTTTAAATGTTTTACTGATACCAGCTACATATTGCACTCATCTAGTTAAGTGTTTTATTGATACCAGACA